ACCATCACAGAGTGTTTATCCAAGGGCTTTCCCAGTCCACTGACAGATTTGCTGCTTCCTTCCCCCTTCTGCTGACAAGGTAACCAGAGGTCCAGTCGATGTGTATAAACACAGATTCACTTGTTAGACTCATCCCAAGCCTCAGCAGGACACTCTTATTCCAATTCAAGGCGCTGCTCACATTAATATTCCGTCCAACACCAGCACTCCCAACCCAAGTTCAGCCTCCACCAAACCAAAACTGTTTCAAAAGTGATCTGAGCCCAACGAGTGCAGCCTTCTCATGCAGACAAGCCTCGAGGCACAAAGGTCTTTTCCAAGGGCACACCGTGACTCAGAGGCAGGACCAGGAATAGAAGTTCCGAGCCCTGATTACCAGGCACTATTAGATAACAACCAGCAGGATCCCAGCCTATCCTGGGCACGCCAAGCTTTTCCAAAACGCTCCCTGGAAAGCGAGAAAAAGCCCCAGAGCAGCTTTTGGGACTAACAAAGCCACCCACTGCACGGAGCCACCAACACCAGCAGCTCCACTGCCTCAGCTCCAGGGGCTGGATGCTGGGTGAAGCGAAAGGGGTGCTGGGTGAAGGGAAAGGGGTGCTGGGTGAAGGGAAAGGGGTGCTGGGTGAAGGGAAAGGGGTGCTGGGTGAAGGGAAAGGGATGCTGGGTGCAGGGAAAGGGGTGCTGAGCACCAGATGAGCAACATTGGGCACAGGCAAGGGATGCTGGGTGAGTGGTAAGTGATCCTGGGTGCGTGGCAAGTGACTCTGGGCACAAGCCAAGCTGGTAGCACCAGTGCCCACCCAGCAGTGCAGGGGGCAAAGCCCAAAATTCAGCCCTGCCACGCTGTTAATCCAAAGCACAGACCCTGGGCAGAGGCTCCAGCAGCACCTCCCGCTCAGCTGGAGCTGCCTGGGTGCTGAGCAGGATTGCATCAGCCCCTGGAGGCTCTGACAGGCTGTGCCTGGAGTCGGGAATGTCTCCAGTGAAGCTGCTCAGGGCAGCAGTTTTTGTAACTCTGCTCCTGCTCATCAGCCTCACCCCAGCTCCCCACACCAGGCTGGGGTGCCGCCTCCCAGGAAAGCCTGCACGAGGGAGATGTAACAAATCACACCTGATTTCAAATGGAGGGGGAAATCCTCCATCCCCTTCCCTTGGCAGACTCCAGCAGCTGGCTCTGCCCACCTCCCCCCACCAGTACACCCAGTGCCTGCTCCCCAAGTTCTGCCTTCACACCTGAGGGGGTGCTCAGGTGCCCACCCCTCTCTTAACTCCTTCGTGCTCTGAGTGGCTGCGATGGGCCCTTCCCACGAGATCAGATGTTTCAGCATCTCTGGGAAAAGCTGTGGTCAAACAAGTCTGGCCCAGTCCCCCAAGGAACCCAACCCAGTCTGTGGCAGGAGATGATGCCCCTGATTTTTCCCTCTCTGCAACTTTTCTTCCTCCTCTCCCTGCTCTTCATTTCGCTCTTGAAGAGTCTCAGTAATTTTCCTCAGCCCTGATATTACTGATCCTATCTCATGCCAGCCCCGGGTGTGTATTTTATTTATTATTTTAGGATGACTGGACAAGCTTATCACCAAGCCCATAAATTACATCCCCACCGCACACAACCAACTCCACATCACACCGGTGATGAGCTTGCCCGAACCCCAAGCGCTGTGGGGATCCAGAACCTTCTGGAAGTGATTCAGGCTGACCTGGACAGCACAGCACAGCACCCACCCCATCCCAGGTGGATGAAGCCCTGGAAAAGCCCTTTCCTCTGGGAGCCCTGAGCAGAGCCCTGCCTGCAGCAGGAGGGGGGGACAGGGCCACGCTGCCTGCCCTGCCTGTGCCCTGCTGGGAGGCAGGGCTGACAATCTGCCGCTGTCTGCCAGCGCCAAGCGGGCCATGGACACCACCACGCAGACCTCTGTGGGCTCCATCTGTCACCCAGCTCAGCCTCCACCCATCCCAAACCTCCCAGGGCCAAGAGCTTGTACCCCCCCCCGGCACAGGGGTCCTGCTTGGGGCACCAGGACAGCACAGACACGGCCCTGAATGAAGCCACATCCCCCCAAAAAATCCAGGGGCAGAGCAGGGACAGCCCCAGAGCGGTGCCCAGCTCCCTGCCACCCCCCCTGGCAGCCAGCCAGGCTGGCAAGGGTGGATTTGTACAAAGAGAAAGGGGAAAGAGGAGAGGGCCAAGGTAGAATTAACATATCGCTGGCTCTTCAAAAGCATCAAAGGGAGATAATGGTCCGAGGGAGGATTTGAAGCGACAGCCTTGTTACAAGCAATAAAGCAGGAGGCTCCTTGCAGCAGGGCTCTGCAGAAGGTAGGGAGAATTACAAAGGCTGAGATTATAATTACAATGAAAGTCATGTCCGTGATGCTGCAAAAAAAATGACGGACCAAGCAGGACCAGGTCCCCTCTGGAGCACAGACACGAGTGTGCACAGGAGCTGGGACACGCGTGGGAGAGCGAGGAGGGGGTGGAGATGCTGCTATGAGCCCCTGGCCATGAGGGAACCACGCACACAGGGATGCTTGGAGGGGCTCACACACACAAACACACACACAGCTGCAGGGCTGGAGGGATGCAACCCAGAACACGCCGGAGTTAAGTTTAAAATCAACTGGTCCTGGTGGTTGCCCCAGGAGAAGACAGGAGGTAAAGGAAATCCAAGTGAGTCACCGCCTTGACCAAGGTGGTAAGCAAATATAACTCAAATCTGTTAGTGATTAACAGGGCAGGACCAAGTGTCCCTCTAAAATGGGCAGCAGCAGCAGCCCCAGCACGCTGCACCGAAGGGAGGACAGAGGCAGCTTCATCGGCTTTTTAATTAACTCATTTCCAAGAGTTCCAGTTCCTGATCGAGTCCCCCCCTCAGGCACGACAATCTTGACAAACAAAAATCTCCTTGAAAAATAACTGCAAAGTGAGTTTAATCTGCTCCTCCTTATTAAAGTTTTTTAATGCTTTTCAGCACAGGAGAAAGTGAATTAAAGTGGAAATGGCAAAATGACAAGACAGAGAGAGTGGAATGCAAACAGCGACCAGACAGAGGGGGGAGCGGCGCCGACACCGAGCGCTCCAGATATTGTCACCCGAGGTCTCACAGTTATTGCAAGGATCTCTCAAACCTGAGCAGCAGAGAGGCCAGACCCAAACCAGGCCCCACCACGAGGAGGGCACTCGTCTTGCTGCTCCCCTTTCAGGCATCAGCATCTTTAGGCAGAGCCTCGGGGTTTGCTACCCCTGCCCCCAGCCCCCAGAGGCTCTGATGGCCATCACAGCGTCACCAGAGATGCCACAGCCAGCTGTCACAGTGACTCAGTGGGACCAGCTGCACAGCTCAAACTTTCCCTCCAGGATCCTCCACCTGCCCACACACCCTCCTCC